ACTCTAAACAATGTTAACTCCAGATATTTTTTTAAAAACATTTCTGCACACTGAGTTTGATTCCCAGTACCCTCAAAAATTTTTTTCTTTGCCTCCCTTCCCTGAATTACCTACCTTACTGATTTGGTACATAGTCCATACATAGTGTGTTTTAAGGGTGAGTATTTCACAACCATTCACTACCTATAATATAAAACTGTAGTTTCTTTTAAAGGTTTCCTCTTAGCAATTTATTCCTTAGTGAATAACGTGGAAATGATACGAGGTACTAAGATTATATGTGGCATTAATGCAATGCAAAAATGCTGCCTAAAGCACATTTTATATAACTGCAAATAAAAATGCTAAAAAACACCTGCTGAATCTTGTATTTTAACCTCCTCCACTTAAAGTAGGAGTCATCATTATAATCCTAGCTTCCAAGCAGATGAAAAGGCTCATCTTCCAGTGGGTTTTAGTATGGGTCCTCCCAGTGAAATGGCCTCTGAGCCAGGGGCTTGCACATGACCTAACCTTGGAAGGAAGGGGACAGGCAGGAGGGAAAACGATCAGATGACTGGCTTCAAATTCAAATTCTTTATAGACGGCGGCCTGAAACTGTGGTCAGCTTTCCACTGGAAGCAACACACAAGGTTTACTTTCTTTCCTAACGTTCAGGCTGCCAGAATACACATGTACTTTTACTTTCTTAGGAGAAAATGTGTCATTTGATTTCCTTCCAGTTTATATGCTCGTGCCAACAACTAAAATGCTTAAAGAACCAAAATGAATTACTACCCAGAAACGGTGGTCAAAGTTCCAAAATTTGATCAATAAAATTGCTCATCTACTCACAAATTAATCTTCAGCCAGTAAAGTTACACGTTTTCAGGGTTATGAGCACACCTGCACCGTTAAGCATTTATTTCACTTGTTTAAGCAATCTTCAGAAGTATATAAATATTTATAAAAAGAGCCTACTATTTTTACCCACCTATAATTTTTTCCCCCAGCAAAACCCTGTTAATTCTTTTACAACTCATAAGCATCCTGAAGGTAAGGTCTACATCCTGCATGATTTTAGATCTATCACCACCAGCACAAATGCCAAGCATGCTGGAGTTGTTCTAAATGCTCACCGAAATTTCATTTAATTAATTCAGATCCTTCAGATTCAGAATTTAGGATGTGACTAATTTTTAATTTTTGTTTGTATCATGCACAAAAAATTTGCAAAGCAAATTAATACATTAAGAAGGAAATTTAGTTACTCAGTAGACTATTTTTCTAGACCTTTAGAAACCATATCTACACCTGATTAATGCCTCTTTCATGAATAAGCCACAATGTCACCAAGAATGCAACCAGCTCAGATTTGGTTCAGTATCTGCAAGTAGCACCATTTCTCTCCTATTTACTCTCTTCTCTCAGAAATTAATCCAAATTGGTGACGTTTGACTACAGTTTATGATCTCTATCGAGTAACCACTCAGAGCCTCCTCTAACTTTCCATTTTCTTTTGTTTGTATCATCAGCCTGTGAAACTGGAGAGCACTGCCAAACATAAAGCAGGGAAGTGTGAGATATGCTTAAAATATGAGCCGCAGTATATTTGGGGATTTAGGATTCTTTTTTTTTTTTCCTCAAGCTACCAGCAGATCAAATCCTTCTTCCCTGTCAAGCCTTCCTCTATGCAGAAGATCTGAAATTTGCTAAAATAGGTTTTTCAGTGTAGTTATAAAGGGTAAGAAGATCAGAGATGAACACTGTTCAGATTTGCTGTAGGATTTCCCTTTCATTTCAGAGCCACTCCAACTGAGATGGCTCAGCGAGGAGAAGGCATGGAAGACAGATTTCAATATGAAGGTTATTCCTTCTGTGAATCACCACCATTATATACATATTTTTTATAACGAGGTAATATACTATGGTACCATGTGGCCTAGCCTAGTAATTTCTCCTTCCTGTTTGTGGAAGGCCGGCCAAATTAATAAATCTGACTGAATTTGCAATAGTCAGTCTCTCTCTCTCTCTCTCTCTCTCTCTCTCTCTCTCTCTCTCTCACACACACACACACACACACACACGTCAACCAACCTCTTCTCCCCCATCCCACGCAGCCAACTCTAAGGCAAGTCTAAATTCTCTGCTCGTCAACTGCAGCACTCAGGGGATAGGAAGAGACTGAAGACATTTTCTTTAACAAAATCAGGGTTCAAAATTGCCCCTTCTGCCTCCACTCTTTCTACAGACTGAAGCACTCAGCAGAATGTGTGAGGCTGGCTTCGACACCGTCCTTGCCAAGAAACACGAAGCTCTCTGTATCCTATATTCTTCTGCTTGGTGGCTAAAATCCTGTAACAGGCAAAGAAAAACTGAGCCCTCAAAAGGAAATCCCCTGAAACTTCACTTCATATATTTAGCCCTGAAGGAACTTCGTTCATCTTGGAGAAGAAGTTACCTAAAAATGCCATATGTTTTAAAAAAGCAAGTATGAGGAAAAGTAAGTCTAGTATAAAAAAAATCACAAATGATATTCAATACTGAAGAGTAATGTGATCAGACAGATTGTGTATGTGTGTATTTTTTTATCTCTAACCAAAGCTCTACTATGTGTAAGATTTTCCCCAATAATATATTGTCATTTTTCCAATGCACTTGAGGTCTGCTCAATTCAAGAGGATTCATAGTATTTTTCAGGTTGTAAGAGCTTCAAGAGGAAGGCAAAAAGAATGGACAGTCATTTGAATCACTGAGTGACAGGCTGGGCTGACTCCCTGTATACATTAATAAATTAGAATTTTAATTGCGTCTCTGTCTGCAGGAGATGCCCTAGTACTTCAATATGTACCAACAATTGGCTATGTTATGGAATCTGCAATGTGGCCTCCACCGCTGACCTCTGAAACACAATTCCCAGTCTGACTACGGAAACTGTTCAGTTTGATCCTTTCAACTTATTTGAATCCTGACAAATAAGCTCACAGCTGAAAGGTCAACACAGTCATATTTCATCCTCCAGAGCTGTTCTTAAGACATCTGCACAACAAAGCACTCCTTACAGCACCTGACATGGGCCCTCCACGGCACTGTACCTCATTAAAAATGTCCCCTGCACTCACACCCATTCAAAGGCATGCACACTGGCCCTAGTTTACCAAACAACTGCTTTTGGAATTGTCTAAACAATGTCCGCTGTTGTCCAACTTTGCCAATCAAGTGTCACTGCACTGCTGAACTTTCCTTAGAGTGAGAGAGCTTCACCACTACATGTAGAAAAACTAGAACTTACTGCCCAAGGTCAGTTTGATCTTTGCAGAATAAATTGGAAATTAGGATTAGCTCATCCTGACCTGTGAAAGATCAACACAGCTAGAATTTAGGTTGACCTTGTGGTCAAATTAATTGGCACCAAGTTATACCCATTTGCTACCATTAATAAATTCTGTTCTAAAATTTCCAGTTTGAGAACCCTGTCACTAGTAGTGTGGTCTTTTGAGGATGCTATCTTCAGCTAGGAAGGGACTTTGACCGACCTGGTCCATGCCAGTGCTCTATCTTAAATCTGAGTATAAATATCTTTGGTCAAGTTTCTTTGAAATTTCCATTGCAATATTCTATTCCAAATTAAACTGCAAATTAGATTTGTATGAAATCACTCCTTCTTCTACTCCTCTACCCCTTAGCCTCAACGTGCTTGAAATGAGAACTTACTAAAACAATCTTTTTTGTTGTCTTTGCAAAAAGATTGCTCATCATTTAATAATTTAGAAAGACTTGGAAAGAAGGTGTGTATTATACTCATGCCTAGGTATGATATGAAAACTATCATATCCTCCTAAGGCCCAATAAAGAGTTCTTGACACTATTAACATTTTGGGTTGCTAAATGAAGCTGTGTTCTGTGGGAATGTCTTATATACTGTAGAGCTAACAGCAATGTCGCTGGCCTATACCTTCAAGATACAGCAATGCCTCTGTCCGGCCCTCTTCCCAAGTTATGACCATCAAAAATATGTGCAGAAAAGAGACAGGAGTAGGTGGGAATATAAATCAGTACAGCCACTACAGAGACCAGTATGAAGGTTACTCAAGAAACCAAAAACAGGTCCAGCTATCCTACTCGAGTATATTTCCAAAGGAAATGAAATTAGCACATCTGTACATCCATGCTTATTTTGTCACTATTCATACTATGTAGAACATGAAATCAGCCTAGGTGCCCATTGACAGGGAAAGGATAAACATGTGTTATATATATACACAATGGAGTATTATTTAGCCACAAGGAAAAACGAAATCCCATCATTTTGTAGCAAAATCAATGGAAATGGAAGACATTACATTAAATGAAATCAGCCAGACCCAGAAAGGCAAGTACTGTATATTCTTTCTCATTTGTGTAAACCAAAAAAAAAAAAAAAAAAAAAAAATTAATCTGAAAATAGGACAGTGATTACTGGGGATTAGAAAAGAGGTGGTAAGGGGGAAGAATGGTGTTTGGATATGATAAATGCAGCCTGTATCCAAGTGTAAGAGCATGGCAGTAAGTAAACTAATATGTACAATCAGTATGTGTTAATACAAAATAATATGTACAATCAGTATGTGTTAATACAAGAACATCTCTCCAGAAGTTGCTCCCTGGTTCCGCGGGTCCAAATCATCCCCTGAGCACTACTGCCCTAAAGTAAGGTGTGTGCCTCTCGTTCTTCATTCCGTCATGAGCTCAAGGACCTGTTCCCTGTAGGTGACCTATACTTCATGTTAAGCAACCTAGCACTGGCAACTCCTCATCCTCCTATTATGTTGTATATTAAGCCGATCTTCTTACTCCCAACAGCAAAAGTTTTGGTCAAACAGACGTTTTCCCAAAACGGTCACAATTTGGTGGTAACCTCAAAATGTACATTTTATAAGATTTTCCTTCCATGAGTTGCAATTCTCAACACAATGCACTTTTGAACTACTTATCAACCCTTCCAAAGGGAATAATGTTCATTTGGAGTGGGGGGCTATTACCTGAAGAGCTGGCTGTTTGTCATTCCTCTTAGGGGATTTTAATCCACTAACTTGCTGCTGCTGCTGCTGCTGCTGCTGTTGCTGTTGCTGCTGTTGCTGCTGAAGGAGGAGCTGCCTTGCCACTTGCAGTGCCTGGGGAGGAAAAATGGAAGGGAACAACTGCATTACAACACAGGGTTGGGAGTCTCCCTCACAGACAGGACTGCAGGAGGTGTATGTATTTCAGCACTGGCTTGGACCTGCCCATTCCCAGGCAAAGGAAATAGGCAACAAAACTTCCCACCAGCCTACACTCGAAAAACTTTCCAGAATTTGTTTACATTTCCTTTCATTTGACCAATTTCGTCCACAGTTCCTTAGGTGCAGTGACCCATGTAACCAGATACTTCATTCCTACCACAGATCTGACATAAAACTTGAAGTGTGAATGACAGACACATGGAGGAGGGACAGCAGAGAGCAGCAAGGAAGGACCTGGGCCATGGCAGAAACTTAGAAGATGGGGAAGCACCCTATCCAAGCAAGGCACCTTGCTTCTCCCCACCTTCTTTTTACAGGGGAGCTTGGGAACTCAAGTTCAAAGCAACATTTTCACCTCATCTGAGTCCAAATAAAGGCGAAGAGAGGGCCAAGGTATAGCTCAGTGCTACAGTACTTGCCCCGCATGCACGAGGCCCTAGTTCTGGGTTCAGTGCCTGAGACCGCAAAAGAAAGGACAAAGGAAAAAGCCAAGTGGTGGACCCCAGGAAAAGCATGCCACCATGGATACAGTTGCTTGGGAAATAAGCTCAGCATATGAGGCATAACTAGAATGATCTCACTGGAAGACGTAAGAGAAAAATTTAGCAAAACTGACTCTAGTCTTCTTGAAGGCTCCATTTTGGATCTGTGAACAAAATTAGTTATATCTACACTACCCTTTCTAGCTTATAAAATGGGATGGTTTTTATTTAAAGGTAGAAGTTAGAGAGTTGGTAATGAACTGGGGATAAGGCAAATGGAAAATAGAAGAGTCTTCCAAAGTGTCGTACATAGGGCCAACCGTTCTTTTAAATAGTTCAAGTAAAAAAAGTGCTGTCATTGAATACTCATGAAGATATTCATGGGCAAAGAATTATGGAAGAATGGCAGGCCCCAGTTTTCCAAAGTCAGCGGCAGAATCAAGAGTAGAAAACTGAGATATGTAGACCCCATATTATAAAATCACAGGAAAAGTTAAACTTTCCGGGACGATTCAGCCGAGAGCCAAAAAGATGTTGACTTTAATCTCAACTACCTGCTAGAATAAGACAGAGGATTCCAAGTTCAAAGCCAGCCTGGGCAACTTAGGAAGGCTCTGTCTCAAAACTGAGCTACATCCCAGTGGTAGAGCACCCAAGGAAGAGATGTTGAGCTAGGTATGTTGGACATGGCCAGAAGCCTAATACCTGAGAGGCAGGAGGCCCCAAATTTGAAGCCAGCCTGCACTACATAGCGAGATCCTGTCTCAGAAAAACAAGAGTGGGTGGGGCAAGAGATTGAGAATATGCTCACTAAATGATATGCTTAGATTATACAGGACAAAATAAGGTGTCTTGGTGAGCACATCGATGATAATTTCTATATAGCAAACAATTATTGGTGCCTCAAAGAAGAGACACACATAAATACCTCAAAGAGTTAGACACTACAGGTTTTCAAAGTAAGTACAAGGACTAAGGGTGGCCATGCATTGCTCCCAAAATAACTGACACTTCATGCATTTAAAGAAAACGATGCACACACTTACAAGAAGTTAGGGCAACAATGGCAGAGTGAGAGCTGGGTCAGATGGGGGTGGGGCTATGTACAAAACATGGGGAGTCCAAGAGGGTTTGTGCTCCTGAGCCAGATACATTGCCTGGCAAGGGAGCAGCTCACTAAACTAGGCTCTGGCAGTAGTATAGGGAAGAGTGTGCTGGTGAGACTTTGTAAAGTTGAGTGGTACCTCTGTGTTTACAGCATACAAAGGAAGGCAAAGGAATGGAAGCACAGAGAAGCGACAAAGACAAGGCTGCAGAAAGTCTGCTTGTCGCACGTCCCTACAGCACACCCCTCCTGTTTCAAGGAGGCCTTGTGCCTACGGGACTCAGGGCCACCAGGCCTGGGTCACTCATACAGCAAGAGCTAGAAGGTCCGGGAAGGACAGCTGCCGGGGGAGGGGCCGGCTCTGAGCAGCATCTGGGATGCAAGGCGCCTGGGGGAGCCGCCTGAGACTCCAGCCTGCTGTCTCAGAGCAGGATTCACCAGCGCTGGACTCCGGGCTTCCTCGTCGCCTTGGAGACGCTCAGTACATGCGTAGGTGTAAAAGTGGGCAGAGTGAAGATTTCATTTATATCATATAAGAAAAATAGTCCCCTGTGCAAGGTGCCTGCAGGAGCAAGAGCCTCTGCTACTATGTATGTTCCCGCTGCTATTTCACATGGAGCTTTACTGCTCTTTCATGCAGGAAAGGGAACCAGGCATATATTTTAAGTGCTACCGTCCAGGAGTTCCAGAAGCAAGAGACTGATCAGTAAAGAAGCCTCTGGCTGCGAGGTACAGAGGCTGACAGTGGGGCCAGAGCTGACTTGGGAAGACAGTGCAGGGGAAATTATGATGGGAGATGCAAGGAAAGTTATCTACATTTAATCCTAAAGTAGCAGCAAAGAGAAACCAAGCAGTGAGAATGCCACATCATTTACCCTGTTTCTCCAAAAACTGGGAGAACAGATAGCTTTAAAATAATCAAGCCCCGGAGAAGCTATAGTCAAATCCTCATTGCAGCACGAGGGAAGATGTTAAGCATCTTGAAGAAAAACCCTCACACACACCTCTCACACAAGCATGCTCGCAGGGGTGTATGTCTGCAACAGACCAGAGAGGATGCAGCCCTAAGTTTTCTTCTCAACCAGTGTTTACTGAGCTGGCTCCATACAATGATTACGCACTTCAAAGTTAGCAGCTGGAATCCAGACTCAGTTTGCTGGTCTGAAGGTAAAAAAAGGTGATTTATGCACAGGATGTCTTTTCAGACCCAACATGGGGTGCGTGCATTTACATACTGACCCTCTTAGCATCGTTTCACACAGAGCCCTCTATGGTGGAGAATCAAAGGCAGAAGCATGAGAAAAAAGGGTCTAGGAACTCACAGGAACACAGGAAATTTCCGTCAGTCTCCTTAGGAGAGAACACTACCAGTCAAAGATGGGCAAGCTGGTTTGCAACGCTTAGCCTCAATGTGAGTATAAACGGCAAAGGAAGAGAGATGACACTTGTATAAAGCACACTGGCCTCATGAATAATCCAGGAATCCACAAGCCTTATGAATATGCTAAGGAAGTCAGAGCCAAGTAGGACCTCCCTCCAAATAAATACAAACAAACCTTAAAAATTTTCAAACGTAATTAATTAGAATTTATAACATGAAGATGATTTCTCATTTTCTGTAATACATACCTTGGTGTGATCTAGATTTTAAATTGTCACACATGAGAAATGACAAGAAATCTCTAGTATTTAAAGTTATAGACTTGGACATTACATGGAACTCTCTGGTATTTACCATTTCTACAAAGTAAGTAAGAATGTTTACTACATTATCATGCTAGTTTTGATTTGATCACTGGAAGACGGGGAATGCCTAGCGGGACGGGACCCCCTTTAGAAACGCCTCCACAGTTCGCTGTGTTCTCCAAACGTGATCACGTGACAGTCACTTTCACCCATTATGTGTACCGCAGCAGATTAATGTCCTCATCTGAGACTCCATGGCTGAGACCTCAGAGATAATTTGTCTTCCAGTACAGCAGAGCAGTGAGAATGGACTGTTCTTATTTTCCTAACGGCGTCTTAATCACAACTGGAGAACAGTCTCTTACATACACTATTTGAAGGTAAAATTAGATACTCAGGATGTAGAACGGTAAGTGTGAGATATATATTTTGGTGTATATGGGGCAGAGGAGAGGAAGAGAAGAAAGGAGAGAAAAGAAGGGAGAATACTTGTGTGTGTTCAAGGATATGAAGAAATTAAAGAATTTCTTCCAAGCAGCAAAAATCACCTCTGATTCAAGTTCCAGAGCAACTGCTAACGCAAATAACTGAAAAGGTCTATTCCATCTCTGGAGACCTTTTATTCTTGGTGGCACTTCCTGGGTTGAATTAGATCAACACTTCCTTTGTAACACATGTGACAACCGCTGGGCAATGGATAATGTGGTGCTGAGTTTGAGTGCGGGGCTCAGGTTACAGTAAAGATGGAGTTCACGGATGTCATAGAGCAGAGGTCTACAATGATAAAAGCAGCCACTGAGAGTCCAGTCGCTTACACTCAACAAGCTAGAGTAAATGGCTGTGTGAGTTAGCAGAGGACAGGGGTAGCAGGCATACAGCACCCCACCTCTGGACTGCCCAGTCTCCTCTGCACTGGCTCCCATCTATATATAAATCTGCACAGCAGGTGGGAGGGAGATGCCTGGTCCACAGCCAGCTCTAAGTATTCAGAGAGATCCATCAAGTTGCCGACTGGCTGCTACGGTGGTGGGCCGTGTTTCCAGGCTAACTGGGAACCTGAGCAGTTTTTTCTTTGATACACCTTCCATTCTATTGGTACAATATGACTTCATCCTCATCAATGCCCTCACATTCTCAGTAAATAAGTGCCATCTGTTTTCTACAAATTATGTTTTACATAAGCATGTTTACAACTTTTGAGCTATTTACATCTCAAGTTCATAACAGGTGCTTGTATTTTAGAAGCGAGGTAATCCCATGTTTTGCATGTTTATCAAGGTAGCCGATGCTCAAAAACATGTTTGCTGTATTTTAAGAAACATTAACAAATTTACATAAAAATATGGTTCAAACAAGCATATACACATATAAAACAAATTAGGAAAAGGAAAAAAAACCTTTATAAAATATTTTGCATAACACACTTGGTGACAAGTCAAACTAGCTAAGCACTGACATAAAATACAACTACTGGGAAGTTTTTGGTCACAGGTCAGTAAATTAGTCTATAGACCAAATTTGGTCCCTCATCTGTTTTGTTCAACTCATAAGATAAGCATGGTTTTTTACTTGTTTAAATAGTTGGAAAAAGTAAAAAGAATATTTTGTGGCATGTGAAA